GTGCATCCTCATTTCATCCTGGTTTTTTTTTTAGAATCTATGTCTTTTAGTCTCAAAACTACATGTTGTGGTCTTTTTTTTTATGTATTGGCTTATAACGTTTCATGAAAAATCTGCATGTGATGGATAAGAATGGATATGATTTTTGGATTCAGCGTACAAAAATTACTGTAGAACATGTAAAAATTTCAAGACAATAAAACCATTGCAGGCCTGTGTAATGAAACCAAGAAAAATTCAATCTGTGATTTTGACAGTACTTACTTTTGTTCTGTTGTCCCCGTGTCTCTATTTCCTGCAAACATAGCAAAACTACTTTTGGAGCAGATAATTCATTCACATCAAAGGAAGTTGTTAGGTCCTGCCCAAACACATTAGCTAAATATCACAAAAACAAGAATGAGCCTCAAGAACTTTGCCCTTCTCCATACAAAAAAAATATAAAAAAATTCAAATTTAGCATAATGCAATATCTTACAGGTAAGCCTTCACTTACAAGCCAAATTTGATTAAAATTCAGTTATTTCTTTCTACAAAGGAGGTTCTATCTGTCTCTTTGAATCTTTTATTAGCAAAATTTAACAAAATTCAACATTTTCAGTTTTCATTTATAAGACAAATTAGAAAAAACAAATCAAAGGTGATTTTTAATAATGGAAGCTATACTGTCAACCTATAAATTTTTTATAAGCATATTGGTGATGCATTACAACATTACACACACTTCCCTCTTATTTTATTCACAGTCTCACTCCAAAGGGGTGACAAATGTTACAAATAATATAAATCAGGTCCCTAAGATGATATTCTCTATTATTTATAGCCTAAATGTATTATTGTTTCATACCTAGTTTTCTTTTTATTATGCAATATTCAGATCTTTTGACATGCAAGTCAAATTTTATCTGAACAGAAAATAATAATAAGATACTTTTTCTCAGTTGGGGATTTGTTGTATTCAGACTAAACTTAAATAATGGTAGGGTATAAAAAAAAGAAACTGTAAGGATTCTTTAAACTTGCTTTATAATTAATCTTAATTAGATTGAAAAAAAATGCATGATTCATAACTACAATTAAAGTTTCTTACTTTTATTATGATGTTACTCAGTAAATTCATGGGTCCTTTAATTATGTAGTGTGTGGTGGAGCCACATTTGCAATTGCAATTTTCAACACACACACAAGTTATGTCAACATGCTGTGTTTTAATTAAAGGTCAACGATGTTATGCCTTTTTCACTTTGAGATTTGTGATCACATTTTTACACCTTCATGTGACTAACTTTGACCCAAAGGGTGTCTTCAGTTTATTGTTTATTTTAGAAATAACCATTTTCCAACATCAGTCATATCTGAGTTTAATGAATATTAAATGTATATTAGGTGTTACTTGTTAAGTAGCACAAAAATTAATTACTTATCTCACTTTTCAGTGTGCTAAAACAATATATAAATACAATCACTTTAAATGTGTACTGTTGACATAAACTAAAATACATATTTTTAAGACAGTTCAACTTGAAATCATAATTACTGTTATAATATGTAACTTTAAACATCATTACAGTACTTTTTTTAATTTGTTCTTTTACAGATATTATAGTAATGTGTCATTTCTAAGGCTGCAATACAATTTTTAATGCCTCCCAATGGCACAGTGGTATGTCTGCTGATTTACAATGTTAGAAACCGGGTTTTGGTACTTGTGGTGGGCAGAGCACAGATAGCCCATCGTGTAGCTTTGTGCTTAACTTCAAACAAACAACTTTTAATCTCACTTCTTCTACTGGGATAACAATAATAAAGAAACTAATTAACACATGACCAAACATATTGCTTGAATGCATTACCTCAGTATCTTTAAAGTGAAAATCTTCTAAGGATAATTAAAATACTTTTCCCACTTACTAATTGACTTTTTTTAAAGTTACTGTTAGGATCCAATAAATTATTCAACTTTGCTATTTAATTAAAAGTTATTAATGAAATTGGCAATTTTTTGTTATCATTCAACAGTATGATATTCACTTTAATCAATTACTAAATAGTTAAGGGCCTGGTGTGACCTGGTGGTTAGTGAGCCCCACTCACAATCTGAGGGTTGTGATTTTGAATCCCCATCACCAAACATGATTTTCCCATATGGTTGATGATTGGGCCAGTCATCCAAGTATGAAAATTTTGGTTTAAAATAATACCAGGCCAATCCCAAACTAGATGGGATTAAGATGAACAATTAAATACTTACACTTTTGCATCAGCAGCCATTTATTTTGTTCCCATGATCCTTGACAAGGTGGAAGTCCAGTAGCAGCACATGTTTTGTGGCACACCAGCCCACATTCTGAAAGAAGACATTTCAGAAAATTTACTAGGTTCACAGTCTGTTTTATAATTACAAATTTTAGTATACTTAAGTGTAACATTTCACTAATAACATATCAACAACATAACTTATATTTGTATTTCTAATGCAACTAGAAAGCTTGTTTAAACTTTTGTGAATGACTGTGAATGTGGTTTTATGTCTTAATGCCCTTTTCTTTAAAATCTTAAGCACAAGCTTCAATAGTAGACAATGGATGAACGCATGACTTATCATGAAGCAAAATTTATCTGAAAATTCTAACGTCACTTGTTATAATACTAACATCAATAAGAAAGAATGTCACTGATATATTCCTTGAGTTTAAAAATCACCTCAGGTTTATTGAAGTTTTGATATAAACACTGCATTGCATAACCAAATATTTAAAAAACAATAGGGAACCCTCAATAGCCATGGCTATAATTAGATCTCAAATCGACCATGAGATGGAGTTATGAGCTAAAAGTTTGTAGTTGAAAAAAATTCAGAGCCATTCTATGAGCCACTATGCTCTGGTTACAAAGGTCTATTACCTAATAATAAAAAGTTTAAATATGACATAAGTATAAAAAAATCTTTCTTAACCAATATAGTTGGTAATGGATAAAAAAATAAAGTTTCAAAATACAAGTGTTGTTCAAAAATCTAGAAAAAATTCAACCATAGCCTACTGATGCCCCCCCAAGTCCTCTAGACAAAATTGTTAAAAATCTGAGCAGCTATAAGATTGTTTGTTTATTGAAGTTAAGCACAAAGCTACACAATTGGCTATCTGTGCTCTGCCCACCACGGGTATCGAAACTCGGTTTTAGGCGTTGTAAGTTCGCAGACATACCCGCTGTGCCACTGGGGGCTTTTCAAACTGAAACACTTAGAGAAGTAACCTCAGTTATTGTAATGCATAGATTATATCGTAATTTGTTTTATTTAAAGGACATAGATACTTCTGTAATGATATAACAATCCGCAGAATTTTACATTGGGTGAGTTTTT